ATTGGTGGAAACCGACTGATGCGAATGAAATAATACAGTCTTGCTGCTTGTAGAAGGAAAAAAAGGAACAAAAGGGCTGCCATCGCGAAAACCGCCCCTCTGATACGTCCCATCATCCGCGCCGACAAAACTGTGAAGAATATTGCGCCACTTTTTTGGGAATTCAGAGAATAGATAGCTTGGAGCCTACAGTATTACGAAAGCACGCGCAGATCTTACCTGTAGCGAAGAAATCCAGGATATGGTCAGCTAGCCTGGAATTTCGTTCCAAATAATATTCACCCGTATTTGGATCGCAACCGTCCACCATCAACAACCTGTAAAAGAATAAATCTTCATGAGGTTTGGGTTGGATAACTTGCGCGAAACTCACCTCTGTTCATGAGATGATTCAACAATATCGTGCATTAGTGTGCGTTCTTCGGTGTACAGCTCCTTTCGGACACAGAACGACTTTCCGCCGATGTTAAGCCGAACGTATGCCTCATTGGGATCCGACGAAATTGCTTCTGAAATCACAAAAGTAAGAGGAACAAGCAAGCACATAGTATGGGCGAAGCGGCGTACCATTTGGTATTCTTAGCTGGGGCGCCTATTTTTGAGGTGGTAAAAGGATGTAAGCGCACGTTCAGTGTGGAATCTACCCCAGTCTGCCTTTGAGAACTCCTGTGACTTCTGCATTTAAGGGGATTCCCTGGACCATTGCGCGTGTAATAGAGCTGTCCTTTGCATATTTAATGGTGAATGGGTTCGTTAAAAACTGCTTTTGTGTCCATATTCTTCCACACGAAGGCTGCATTCCAGGACAGCTTCTGCTTCCTGTTTCATTAATTTCATTCGCAGGGAAAGAATATCCCCTTCTACACGCGGTAAGACATTTTAATGAAGCGGCAAGGCGATGGAATATGTAACAAATGAGCCTTCAATATGTGGAACATAAATAAGAACCATTCCGTACCCAAAGAACGATCTTTAATCCTATAAGAATATGGTGTGGCCCTAGCTGAGGACACCTCTGTGGTCATGACGAGAACAGAGGCAACGGTAGGTGCGCCCTAGCCTACAGAAGGTCAACGGAATGGATCCTGCCAGGTCGGCCAACTGAGTAAGCCTAATGCTGAGAACACGAACATGTTGACTAGGACATTA